AGGAAAGAAATAAGAAAGTTAGGAAAGAAATAAGAAAGTTAGGAAAGAAATAAGGAAGTAAATAAGGTAGGAAAAAAATAAGGAAGGAAGGAAAGAAGGAAGGAAGGAAAGAAATAAGGGAGTTAGGAAAAAAATAAGGAAGGAAGGAAGGAAGGAAGGAAGGAAGGAAGGAAGGAAGGAAGGAAGGAAGGAAGGAAGGAAGGAAGGGCAATAACAATAGCGTTTAGACTTATATGCCGCTTCACAGTGCTTTCCAGCCCTCTCTAAGCGGTTTACAGAGTCAGCCTCTTGCCCCCAACAATCTGGGTCCTCGTTTGACCCACTTCGGAAGGATGGAAGGCTGAGTCAACCTTGAGCCGGTCAGGATCGAACTGCTAGCACTCGACAGAGTCAGCCTGTGATCCTGAATTCTAATCACTGTGGCTCTTCACGATGATGGTTTGAAGCTAAAAGGCCTGGATCTTCTTTTTACTTTGCAAACTTACCAAGAGGCTGACATTTCACACACAAGACACCCCCAGGGGACTCACCTTTGCCGATCACCAGGCCACATTTATCGGCGGGCACCGTGTAAGTGATTTCCTGCATGCCGCCGGGGGTGCCCAGGCTCCAGTCTCCCCGTCCGCGCCCTCTGCCCCGGGTGACGGCCAGGGTCCCGAAACCATCGCGCTCCTGGAAGCGAAGAAGGCGGCACCCCTGAGCATGCGGGAAAGGCCTGGTGGACTATCCCCACCGGCCCCCAGCCAACTGGGAATTCCAGAAAAGCACCTTTCCCAATTCCACGTCGGATAATAAAAACGAAAGCGAGCCTGCCTGTTCTCAGACAATGGGGGTCCTTCTCCTCCCAAGTTTCTAGTCCTCATGGAATTTTTGAGTTGAAAAAACTCAAGGAAGTACAGGTAGTCCTTGAGTTCAGCTGTTTGCTTGGTGACCATTCCAAGTTAACAACGGCACTGGGGGGTAAAAAAACCTGAGTCACAAGACCCCGTCCTTGTAATTATTAAGATTCCCACGTTGCTGGATTCTGACGGTCAAGCTTGGGCACTGGGGTGTGTGGGGGCAAAATAAAATAGGATACAACTAGAGTGCTGCATCCAGTTTTGGTCATCACACTATAAAAAATATGTTGAAGCTCTAGAAAGAGTGCAGAGAAGATCAACCAGGATGATTAGGGGACTGGAGGCTAAAACATATGAAGAACAGTTGCAGGAACTGGAGCCTGGCTAGTCTAGGGAAGAGAAGGACCAGGGGAGACAGGATAGCAGCCTTCCAATATTTGAGGGGCTGCCCCAGAGAGGAGGAAGGGGTCAAGTTATTCTCCAAAGCCCCCGAAGGCCAGACAAGGAATAACAGATGGAAACTGACCAAGGAGAGATTCAACCTGGAAATAAGGAGAAAATTTCTGACAGTGAGAACAATCAACCCGTGGAACAGAAGTTGCCTTCAGAAGTTGTGGGAGCTTCATCACTTGAGGCTTTCAAGACATGCCTGGACTGCCATCTATCGGAAATGGTGCAGGGTCTCTTGCTTGGGCAAGAGGTTGGACTAGATGACTTACAAGGTCCCTCCCAACTCTGATTATCGGCTACATTATCTGTTACAACTCAACTTAGAAAGTGCCTTGCTTAGTTAGCGATACCCCTAGCGACTTATATGCTGATTCATGGTGCTTTTTACAGCCCTCTCTGAGTGGTTTACAGAGCCAGCCTCTTGCCCCCCCTCACCCCCCCCAACAATCTGGGTCCTCATTGGACCGACCTGGGAAGGATGGAAGGCCGAGTCAACCTTGAGCTGGTGAGACTCAAAGTCCAGACTGTGGGCGGAGTCAGCCTGCAATCCTGCATTCTAACCACGGCACCAGCAGCAGCAGCAGCGATTCTAGTCCTGATCGTAGTCGTAAGTCGCTAGGTGTTGCACCCATCCCTCTCTCCCCTCCGCCCGCTTTGAAGAGCAATTCAACCCCCCTCAAAAGCCAGCAGGATGGTCCAGGGTCTCCCGTGTGAGCGGGGGGGGGGGGGGGGGGGGACTAGAAGACATCCAAGAATGTCCCTTCTGACCCTGTTATTCGGGTCTCCCTCAGCTTGCCGGCGCTCGGCCTGACTCACCTGTGCCGTGAGGATGAGCTCGGTGATGATGTGACCTGCGTGCTGGCATCGGTCAGGGAGGCCCATGACCTGGGCAATTCTTTCTGGGCTGATACCGTCATCTGGAGAAGAAAGCGAGGGAAGAGCCCAGTGAAGCAACAACAGAAGGAAGGCAGAGAGAGAGAGAGAGGGAGAGAGAGGGAGGGGGAGAGAGAGAAAGAGAGAGAGAGAGGGAGGGAGAGAGAGAGAGAAAGAGAGGGAGGGAGGGAGAGATAGAGAGAGAAAGAGAGAGAGAGGGAGGGAGAGAGAGAGAGAGAGAGAGAGAGGGAGGCCACAGTTCCCCATTCCTGGTTTAGAACTTCTCTTGGGCACCAGGGAAACAAATTTCCCATGGAGGCAGGTGGGGGGCCCCACAGGTCTAGGGGGTCCCCCACCAGAAACCTGGGTCAGACCAGCTGAAAGAAAACAAACCTGGTTTAAACTGAATCCTAACCCCGGCGTCGTTCTGAATCTTCTTGATCATTTCGCCGTTTCTTCCTATTACGATCCCCACGGCGAATCTGGGCACAGAGACCTGCAGAGAGGAAAGGTATTCTAGTAAGGGGGGGGGGGCTTTGGACACAAACCGCCACTCAAATTTGAACCGAGTCCCAGAAATCAAGGTGGGGATTTTGTCTCAGGCCAAGGCTGGAGGTCACCCCTCGTTGCGCTTTGCGTGGAGACCGGGAAAGGGAGCTGAACACGGGCTTATGGCCAGAGAGGAGAAGGTTTTAGAACTGGGGAACGGCCGTTTGTCTGGAAGGGAAGAGGGTCTCCTCCCTGAGCAAGAGGGGTTGGACTAGAAGATCTCCAGGGTCCCTTCAGACCCCGTCATTCTAGGTTCTAAAACGCGTTCGATGTAGCCAAAAGGGGGAAGAAAAAAAAATTCTCAGTTTTCCTGCCGCGAAGCGAGAAGATTCACACAACCGCGTACCTCTATGCTCCGTCCCATTCGGGATGTAAAATCGTTGCGTACGCCCCGGAAGTCGGCCTGGTCTTTTTCTCGGATAATCTCCAATACCATCTCCTGGGCTTGCTAGAGGGTTCCGAGGGGAGAAAAAAAGAGATCCGGGTTAATGAAAGGTGGGGGAAGGGGGTTAACCCACCTGGATTTGGGTCTCCCAGGACGAGGGCCTGGAAAGCAGGACGAGGCTCTTCGGCGCTACAACTCACGGCCTCCCGCTTTCTAGCCCGGCCCCTTAACCAAACGGGCTCCTGAATTGCTAGGATTTTGAGTGAAAGCTACCCATTCTGGTGCGTGTTTAGCCCACCCAGTTTGCTTTTTCTACTGTATCGTGTTTCAGCAAGCACCTTGCAGCCTGGATTTTCTCCCCTAATGCACTGATTTGCATAGCTTTTTGCATTTAAAAAAACAACTCTCAAGTTGGACAAAAGGTAGAAAGTTATTAATGTAAAAAGAAAGAAAAGGGAGGGGGAAAAAAACCAGAAAAATAATATCAAGTTAACCACAGAAATACAGGCACAGACATCGACACACACATCTCTCTCTTTCTCTCTCTCAATCTCTCTGGGTTATTATTCCAAATTCTCACCCAACTGTCTCTCTTTTTTGAAATCAGCACAGACCGACGAATCCTCTCCAATACACACCTGTACTTTAAAAGCATCTCCCGTAATCCGAAGAGGCTTATCTGCTCCGGTCGGTAAAGGGCCATCTTGGATCATGATCATTTTCACACCGGTTCGTTCCTACATATGTGACGCACAGATAACGGGAGATAAGGGGAGAGAGAGAGAGAGAGAGAGAGAGAAAACTGCAAAAATGAAACATGCAAAAAAAACAGCAACCCTGCAAAACCTGCTTGAAGGCTATGAAGATAAGACAAGGGGAGGAGGAAGGGGAACTGCGATGGAAGGAACTGAGAAAAAGTCTCATTTTAATAAACGGGTAGTCCTTGACTTACGACAGTTGATGGACTGACCGTTCGAAGTCACAACGGCACTGGGAAAAAAAGGGGGGACTTTTTCACACTTCAGGGCCACTGCAGCATCCCCAGAGCCGCGTGATTTATATTCGGACCCTTGACAATCGACTCCGCATTTATGACGATTGTGATCCCCTTTTGCAACCTTCTGACCATTGCGGGGGGGAAGCCGGATTCGCTTAACTGGGTGACTCGCGCAAGAAACGCAGCAAGCAACGCTGTAAAATGGGGCAGAGCTCGCTTAAGGTCATTTCTCAACCTCAATTATGGAGCTCCATTGTGGTCGTAGGTCGAGGACTGACTGTACTGGGAAGGAGACCTTCTCTCAGTGGGTCAAAAATTTCAGAAAAATGACCCACTTGAACCTCCCGGAGCAAAAAAAGAATCTATTTCTTTATATATTCATTTTAAAAAATAATAACAAAGTTCGATCATCTGCGCTGCTTATTATATACAGCATTCATTTAGTGACCGTTGGAAGATACTACGGCTTTGAAAAATAAGAGACAGCGTGACCGTTTTTCACACTTACGACCGCTGTAGGGCAACCCCTGCAGTCAAAAATCCAGACATTTGGCAACGGGCTCCTCTTTTTGTGATTTCACTTAATCAAGCGTGGCGAAAAAGGTCGTAAGATGCGGAGAGGGGCAAAATTCACTTCACAGCTGTCTTGCTCAGCGACAGGGCTCCCCTGAGGCCGTAACTCGAGGACTGTGACCCTTCAGACAGCAGGGGGGGGGAGGGAAGTGGGTGGAGAGAGAAGGGGAGGCAGGAGGTCAACCGCCGTACGCACCTGTAATTGCTTTATCGTTTCACCGCCTTTCCCGATGACCAGGCCCACTTTGGAGGCTGGAATGAGGATTTCTTGTACTGTGTTGTTGCCGTCCACGTCGTTGTGAAAGCCGGGCCCATTCCTACAACGATCTACGATGTGGCCCAGGAGTCGTTTCGCTTGTCTTCGGGGGGAGGAGGGGTGGGTGGGTGGGAACGACGGACACAAACAGAGACGAAGGGAAGGGGGGGATAAAAAAGAGAGGGAGAGAGAGAAAGAAAAAAAAAATCTCAAGGAATTCAGCTAGCAAATTGCACCCCCGCTTCCCATCTTGTCTGGGTCTGAAAGGGAACGCAGGACGTTTCTTTTTGGCGGGGAGAAAAAGAAAAAAGAAAGAGAAATGGAAGTAGAGGCAGTCCTTGACTTATAAGGGTTCGTTTAACGACCAAAGTCGCAACGGCATTGGGAAAAAAAGTGACCTGGGACCAGTTTTTTCACACTTATGACCGTTGCGGTCACGTGATTGAAACTCAAGAGGCTTGGCAACCGACTCCTAGTTGTTGACGGTCGCACCGACTCCTCCTTTTGGCGACCATCTGACAAAGCAAAGCCCATGGGGCGGGGGAGCCGGGTTCACTTAACAACCGGGTGAGTAACTTATCCATTGCAGCGATTGGCTTAACGAACCGTGGCCAGAAAGGTAGCAAAATGGGGCAGGACTCGCTTCATGTCTCGCTTGCCAACTGAAACGATTGCGGTCGTTAAGTCGAGGACTACCTGTGGCTTTGACTTGTCGCGACAATCCTGGATTTTGGGGTGGTGGTGGAAATAACCGCTTCTGGGTGTTGTTGTCAAGGCGACCGTTGCGTTAAACCAGCGGTTAACAAGGTCTGCTTTTCACTGCTTGGAAAGTGGCTTTTCTTCACTCCACCCAACCCCTTGTCGTCCCACCCCCAGAGGTAGGAAACTATGAGCCTTTTAGGACTTTTGGACTCCAACTCCCAGGATTCCTGAGCCAGCAGGGCAACTATGAGCCTTTTACGGCTTGTGGACTCCAACTCCCAGGATTCCTGAGCCATGCGGGACATTTACAGCACGCCTTCAAAGCATTTAGAAAGGGACAAACAATCCTCCATCTAGGCTGGCTGGCAATCTTGAGATATTCCAGCTTCGTACGAAGTTGAAACTCTTCCTGACGTCTTCTCAGACTCTTTTCCTGAACATCTGGAGCTTTGATCACCGCACTGGAGCTCTCGGTCAAGGCCGCAAAGTCATATAATCCCCTCTGGTGGCCTCTATTAGTCTTTTGGGGACTCAGGACAAAAGACGCCACTGATTTGAAAGTGTCTTCACCACAATCTTCACAGCCTCCTCTTCTATAGTGTCGAAACCATGGTGATGGCTGGAAGCCCTGGCTACCTCCGTTGTCCAACCGGCAAGCTACTGATGATACAGCACCTCCACAAGCCAACTCGTGTAGGGTCCTTGACGCTCTCTCTGTCTGACTGTTAAGAGCTTGGTTGCTTCCTTGTAGACGTTTCATAAATCCGGTCATGTAACATCATCAGTGCAGGAAGGGACCTCTTTTCTACCTAGTGCTACCTTCCAGAACTGATGATGTTACCTACTTGGGTCATGAAACATCTGCAAGAAAACCGCCAAGCTCAGGGAACACCAAGGACCCCACCGTTCAACAAATATTCTCTTCTTTTTTCCTGCCAATTTGGGTGAATAATGGCCAAAGCAAATAAAACCCACTCACTTAGAGGCGGAGAAAGTTTTAAACAGATAAGAGACAGGGCCCAATTCAAATGCATGCACACATCCACCCCAGTCTTCAAATCATGCAGCTTTGGTGGTGGGGAAAAAAACTCCAATCCGTTTATCAGAAGATGAAGTCAAGAGTTGAGGAGAACCCACTCCGAACCAGGAAAACCAGCCAGGACAAAACCTCAATCCAAAGTTCCTCTAAGATGGCACCAAGCTGTTATATTTATTGTGCCTTGGTGTGTTATAGATTCCCCACCCTAAGGCCGAACTTCAAAAAAAAAAAATGGAACCAGAGCAATGTCAATTGAAAGAAAGAGGAAGAAAGAAAGAAAGAAAGAAAGAAAGAAAGAAAGAAAGAAAGAAAGAAAGAAAGAAAGAAAGAAAGAAAGAAAGAAAGAAAGAAAGAAAGAAAGAAAGAAAGAAAGAAAGAAAAGGAAAGACTCTACTTCTCAAAATGTCCAGGGTTTATTTGACATTTGTTAATCACCCAATGTTAATTTAATTTGAAATTTAAAAAAAAAAAAGATTCCCACAGATGGATTTGGAAAAAACCCACCTACCCAAAGGCTGGGGGAAATGGGAGAGCAGGTCCATATTGTTAAGTGGGCTCCCGTAAGCCTGAGGCCCGTGGTTCCAGCGGGAAGAGCTCCTTGGGACAGGCAAACTCAGCTCCTGAGAAGGGGGAGGGAGGAAATACTGTCCCTAAAGTTTCTACAGGGCGTGAGAGAACAGAGATTTTCCCCCACACATACACACGCACCCTCCCTTGCTGGGCTGCCAAGGGGAAGGGGGCAGGGAAGGACGAGGAAGGGGGCAGCCGCGCGACTCTGCAGCCGGTCAGGGTTCGCCCCCTCCCCAAACGAGTGGTCGGGGAAAATTGATTGGCATGCATCAGTTAAACGCAAGGGAAAGGGGGGGAAAAAAAGGCTGGGATGCAGGAGAAATGGCCGGATCACCTCTGCTGCTGAAGGTGACTTTCTCCAGACTCCCTTTCAAGGAAGGAAGGAAGGAAGGAAAGAGGGAGTTGAGGACCCTCAAGAATCGGAAGCCCACCCTTTTAATCTCCGATGGGCTATCCCGGCCACCCTCGTCTCGGGTGGCTTCCCACAAGGCCCCACCATTCCTTTGTAGCAGCTCTTAGCACGGTCTCCCCAACGGGGCTTGGCGCTTTTCGCAAAAAGGTATGGGAGAAATCACGGGAGAGAAAGGACTGAACGTTTCCCTCCGGCGGCCTTGATTCCTTCTAGGCGTCAACGGAAGACGATTGGCGAGCTCTACCTTCGTGAGAACGACGTCCTTCAAGATCTGGGGCTTCTTCCTGACCCTGGTCCTACCAGGTTCTCGTGCAAAGGACGGAGGCTTCATGGAGAGATTGAAGGAGGGGATTGGGGGCAATTAAAAACCAACAAAAAAGGGGTGTGTGTGTTGAGGGTGGGCATTAGAACAGGACTCTCTCACAAAAGCCACCCTTCTCACTCTGGTGGTCTTCTCCAAACAACTAAATCAGGGCAGGTAAAATTTGGTTTATAGACAAAGGAAGGAAGCGGATTTATCCTCCAGGCGTCCTACGGGGCATAAATATTCCCTGAGATTAAAAAAAAAACAAAAAAACCACGTACGGTTGATTATCCTTGTGGCCTATTTTTGTACATCTGATGGCTTGGAGGGATTAAACCTTCTTTTTCAGTTCTTCGCATCAAACCACCCTCAGCACAAAGTGAGCTCAGGGATACATTTATATATATATATATATACAGGACTCGAAGGAGGTCGCGGGACGGAAGAAGGGACTAAGAGAAAATTCTCGACGGGCAGAACCGCTTTGGCTGTAAGAAAAAGGCTGGAAGGCGGGCAAGCAGGCGATAGCTTGTCTCGAGGCGGTGCGGAGGAAAGGAATAAAAAGCAGATCGGGGGGGGAAACCAAAAAGAAGAAAGGATAGAGGACAGAGGTGAGGGTGGGGGAAGGGGTTGAAAAGAAATCACAGAGACTGGCTTTAATCGCTTACTCGATGCTCTCTGGCGATCCGGTCAGCATGCAAGGCCTTTCTGCCATCCCACCGCTGTCTGCCAAGACAATAAGGAAAAAAACGTCAGTGGATCCTGTCCGTCCTCCTGCGTGCTTCCTGTTTAGAGACGTCAACCGTGGCCTCTAGGGCTGGAAGGGACCTTGGAGGTCTTCTAGTCTGACCCCCTGCTCAAGCAGGAGGCCCTATATCCATTTCAGACAAATGCTTGCCCAATCTCTTCTTGGAAACATCCAGTGTAGGAGCACCGACAAGTCCTGGTGGCAAGTCGTTCCACTGGTTAAATGTTCTCGCTTGTCAGGAAATCTCTCCTTAGTACTAGGCTGGATCGCTCAGGCTAAAGGACACCTCTTTCCTAACGGCAAATTCAAATTATGTGGCCAAATTCAAATTTTCAGGGCCTCCCCCGATTAATGCCCGCTGCCTTGCAACGCGCCTGAGACTAGACTCTGTGCGAACTGGTTGGTGAAAAGGTCCACGGAAAGAATGGAAATGCTTAGATATTCTTAGCCAGCAGGTGCTCAGGTGAGGGAAGCCCCATGGTAAGCCACAGACCATGGTTTATAAACCCCAATGCCTGGCTCCACGCCCTACAAGCTCAACCAGAAGCCATACAATCATTGCGAGTGACTTTCTCTAAATAAGGGAACGGATTGGAGCAAAAAAATAAATAAACAAATGACGGTTTACCCCGCTTCTCCAGAACTCCTTACCTGATGCTATCTGAATTTTGCACCCCGATTCTGCCTGAATCCGGGAGATTTGCTCACCGCCCCTGCCGATAACTGCAAAAAAAATAAAACCAACATCAGGAGGTGTCTACTCACAGAACGGAAACCTTAAGAATGGAGGGCTGGAAAGGGCACCTCAGAGGTCTTCTATCCAAATCCCCTTGCTCGACGTAGATCTTACACCACCCCAGTCAAAAGGTTATCCGATCTCTTTTTGAAAACCTCCAGTGATGGAGGTTTGAAAACCTCCAGTTGCATCCACAACTTCTTAATAGTTCTGTCAGAAAATTTCTCCTTAGTTCTAGGTTGCTTCTCTCCTTGATTAGTTTCCACCCATTGCTTCTTGCTCTGCCTTCAGGGAGAATAGCCTGACCCCCCGCCCCTCTTCTTTGGGGCAGCCCCTGAGTTTGACCCCCTTTTCCTCTCCAACATTGGAAGACAGCTCTCACGTCACCCTTAGTCTTCCTCCTCGTCAGGTTAGACATACTCAATTCCCTCAACCATTCGTTGTACGTGACTCTGGAGAGTCTGAATTTTGATCGCGTGACCATGGGGATGGCTGAAATAGTCCCAAGTATGAAAAAACGGTCATAAGTCAGGTTTTTTTTTTCCAGAGTCGCTAAGTGAACTGTCAGATTTCTGCAACCGACAGAAAGCTTATTCTCAAGAGATTTGAGACTTTTTTCGCCCCACGATTTTCACCCCGCGATTGAAACCTCAGCGAGAGGTTAATGGCTCCAACCAAATGAGAGATGGGGTCACTACTGGAAATGCAAACCGAATCACACCTGTGAAAAAAGAGAGTGTTGAATGCCCCCTCCTCAGCAAATACTTACTGAATCCAACCATTTTGTCAGGCACTTTGAAATCTTCGGTTATTACTGCCCTGAAGAAAACAGGAAAGGAAATTCATCATCTTTTCTGTCTCTGGGATGTCACCGTTTAAGGGAAGGGGGAAATCAGATTTAGACTCCAGGAGTTATGATGGGGATCCGCTCAAGCACCTGGGAAACCATACAAGAACGAACGAACGCGCGCGCGCACACACACACACCGATGCAAACAGAAGGAACAGGTTTGGTTATCATTGTGATCGTTCTTTGTTTGGGGAGGGGACCTGGGGTCTGGATCAAGCTGACTAGGGTTTCTAGCACCTCGACATAACTAGAGGACTTGCCCAAGCTATGGCGCAGAAGTGATGAAAATAGGTAAGTTAAAACGCCTGCTTTATGAAGCTGTTTTCAGTTGAAACTTCCATCGTGATTCCCAACACGGGTTTAAAACTCGGCCCAGTTAACTCATTTTAATCTATATATCATTAGCTACAGAAGAGGTGGAGGTGGAGCCCGGAGAGGAATTATCCTGGAATCTTTATGTTGTCACAAACGGTCCAGCCTCTCCTGAATTCTGTTAACTGTTATCAAGTGCCAATTTTTAGCACCTACTAATGGACCTATCTGGGCCTAATCTAGCCCATCTCCTTTTAAAAGAATAACAAGAGTTAGACGGGGCCTTGGAGGTCTTCTAGTCCAACCACCTGCTTATACCATTCCACACAAATGGCTGTCCAGTCTCTCCTTAAAAACCTCCCTTTAAAAACCTGGCTTTGTCCCCAGGCCAGTGGGCTATGTATCACTTGAGTGATGTTTTAGTTTTTTAATTGATTCTTTTTCCTGGACATTTCTTCTTCTTCTGGTGACACAATTCATTGCTCAGAAATAAATAAATGAATAGCCAACTAAATAACATTTAAAAATAGATAGGGGGTGACTTTTCTCCTGTGATTTTTAGGCACGGTGCCTTAACCAACAGGCCAAACAGGCTCCATTCCTTCCTATGAATTTATTTATTTTTTTGTGGGAAACTGGCAAAAATGCCATAAATCACATAAAAACGAGCCAATTGCCAAGCGTCCCAAATTGTTTCAATGTGTATTGCTGCCAGAACTCCAGAACCAGGTCATAAATACCCTTTTTTGTGGGGAGGGGTATCTGTCATAACTCCGGTTATTATCTCCTTTTAATCTATCTAATATTGTCTTCCCCTTCTTCAAATCTCACCCAAGCCTCTGTTTTTTCCCCACACTTCATCACTCAGCAGCATCACGTAAATATTTATTAACCGTGAGCCTCTTCTGTGTGAGTACACCCCAAATCTCCTTTTCCCTCCTATAGCTCTCTCCCCGCAAAATAAAAACAAAAAACAAAAAACACAATATTCTGAAGCAACGAGGGTTTTGGAGATGGAAACTGCTCCGCTGTTTCGCTGCGCTCACAACCTCTTGACTCTGTAAAGGCTCCGGTACAGATGGCAGATCAATAAACAATTACCCGTGATCGATAAATAATAAAACATAACCCACGGCTTACCTTTGATGTACCAGGGCTCCTAACTGGTTACCTACTGTGGCAGAGAAGAGAGGAAAAAGGGGAGAGAGAGGAAAAAAAATAAAATCAAAGCATTAGCATGGATAAGCTAACTTCATCCGGCCCTTTTCATCGGGGAGAAGAGAAAAGCAGAGCGGGGGAAGGAAACACCCCACTTCCCACCCCCCCACCCCCCCCCACCAGCAATTTGGGTTCAGTGACTGAAATGAATGCCTGTCGCGGGATGGAAAAAAACAGCCGGGACGGAAAGCGTCCAGCTGAACGCAGGATAGGAAATTGATCTACTTCTCTTCCATGCTGTGAAGCATGGGAGAAAGACTCGCCCCCTCCCTCTACCCGGCTCCACAAATCCCTAGAAAGGTTCTTTGGGATTTCTGCCCCCCCCCCCCCCCCCCCGGCCCCAAAAAAGGAAAGCCGATGATATTAAAAAGATCAAGAGGAGCGGTGGGCGTTAAAAAACCAATAAAACAACAAAAAAGAGACTTAAAACTCAAATCAAAATTAAAAGTATTTGGAGAGAAAGAGAGAGACATACAAACATACTTCTGGGGTTGTCTCTTATCTGTGATCCATGAAGCCAGTTTACACGGAGACCTGTTAAAAGAGAGAGGGCGGTCAAAGGACGTGCCATCGTCAAGTTGAAGAAGATATGGTCAAATTTCTGTCCACCTAAGATGGCCTGGAAGCTTCTACTGAAACTTCTGGTCAAAGAACTTCCCGTCATCACATTAAAGTTATGGTCAAATTTCTGCTCAAGATGTCCACCTAAGATGGCCTGGAAGCTTCTACTGAAACTTCTGGTCAAAGAACTTCCCGTCATCACATTAAAGTTATGGTCAAATTTCTGCTCAAGGTGTCCACCTAAGATGGCCTGGAAGCTTCTACTGAAGCTTGTGGTCAAAGAACTTTCCGTCATTACATTGAAGTTATTGTCCGGTTTCTACTCAAGGTATCTGACCTCTCCTCCAGCTTGTCTGGAAGCTTCTAGAGGTAGTCTTCGACTTACAACAGTTCATTTAGCAACCGTTCAAAGTTACAACGGCACCGAGAAAAAAGTGACTTATGACCGCTTTCCCACCCTTAGGACGGCAGCATCTCCAGGGTCACGCGATCAAAGTGAGGACGCGACTGGCAACTGACTCGTATCTATGACGGTTGCAGTGTCCCAGGGGGTTTCGTGATCCCCTTTTGCGACCTTCTGACGAGCGAAGGGGAAAGTGATGGAGTTAGTAACTTAACAACTGTGGCAAGAATGGTTGCAAAAATGGGGCAAAACAAAGGTCTCGCTTTGTAACAGAAATCTGGTGGTAGTTAAGTCGAGGACTACCTGCACTGGAGATTTCTACTGCATCTTTTATCAGCTTAGTTAGAAACGAAACAGCATCCCTCTTGCGAGAAAGCCACCTCTACAACTTGTTGAAAGCAACTGCTCCAAGGACGTCATTCTCTGGTGCCAAAACACAGATTAGGGTACCAGAAGTCAATCATAACCAGCCTTGGATTTACAAGGGAGAAACCTAGCTGCTCTCAAACGCTTCCTTTTTTCAGCTAAATGGATTGATCGGAAAAGATTTTTGTTGGGAATTATTCTCAGTCATTTTGCTGGAACGAAGGGACGGAGCCGTATTTAATCAACTCTTCTATAAAAAAAGTGACAACTGGCTGACTTAAAACGCTTGAGTTGAAGGGAATTTGCTTGGCTGATGGAAAGCGCTTAAGGAAATCACAGTCCGCTTCTTCTTTGCACCGAGCAACCCAATTACTCCAGGTTTTCAACTGCTTGTTTTAAGGAAGTAGAGCACCCTTTGCAGGGAAATAATTTGAAAAGGGAGTGTGGAGAATGAATTCTGCATTTCAAGCTCCATTTCATGCCCATTTCCCAGGTCAGCTCAGTCATTTTCAGCATCGAGAGGCAGAGATTAAGTCTATTTTAAGCCAAGAGATATTGGGCAGCTTCTTAGGAATGACATCCAACCCCCTCCACACACAAACACACACTCCTTTAGAAAAGTGCAGGGAACTTGTGACAATCAATGCCCTGCCAGGACACCTCTATTTCATAATGCTCTTATCAATCAGTTGTCTTATTTTTCTGAAATGGGATAGGTACAACTCTCACGGGCTTTTCTCGCTGCTGAGGTTATGTCTTGCCTGTTGGAAAAGTAAAATGTAGAAAATGCACGACGGTTAGAGTGAAATGAGCAGAAGCAGGAAAGGAAAGCTTTTTAGACAACCTGAGACGAATTTTCCTTCCTTCCTAACTTCTATCTTTCCTTCCTTCCCTTTCCTTTTTTCTTTCCTTCCTTCCTCTTTCCTTCCTTTCTTCCTATCCTCTCTTTCCTTCCTTCCCTCTTTCTTTCCTTCCGCCCTGTTTCCTCCCTCCCTTTCCCTTCTCTCCCTTTTTGTGCCACCCATCTCTCCCATAAGGTAACTCTGGGAGGTTTACAGGTAATAAAACAAGTGAAAATAAAGAAAGCCAATGGGGTTCGCTTCAGAACCGCGTGGCTCACTTTAACGACTGAAATGATTCGCCTCAATAGCTGGGGCAAGAAAGGTGGTCAAGCGAGGCAAATGGGTCCCTTAACGACTGGTTCACTCCACAACGGAAATTTGGGGGCTGAGTTGCAGTCGTAAGTCGGGGACCACCTGCAATCCAAAGATGCTCAGAATCCGAGTGAATTAACGCACCACGCGGCACCAAAAGCACACGCTCTATCTATGTGATAGATATAGAAATAGAGACAGAGACAGACAAACTATAGAGATGATTATAGAAAGGTAGAAAAAAGATGATAGACAGACAGACACAGACTGACTATAGAGAGATTATACAGAAGATAGACATATAGAGAGATTATAGAAAGGTCGAAGATAGTAATAGATAGATAGATAGATAGATAGATAGATAGATAGATAGATAGATA